CAGTTGTGTTGTCATTTAATGCTGCTGTTACTGCTATAGTTGTTTTGGCAATATTTAATGTTGTTGTTGTTGCAGCTGTAGTTGTGTTGGTAACATTTAATACTGTTAGATTTGTTGTTGTGTTGTTCACATTCAACACTGTTGCAATATTTACTATGCTGTTGATGTACAATGTTGATGCTGCAGCTGCAGTTAAGTTAATATTTAATGCTTTTGTTGTTGTTTTGTTGACATTCGTTGCTGTTGTTGTGCTGTTGACAACTGATTCTGTTGTTGTATTTGTTGTGCTGTTGACATTTAATACTGTTGTTGCGGCTGTAGTTGAGTTAACATTTAAAGTTATTGCTGTTACATTTGCTGTTGTATTGTACACATTTAATACTGTTGTTGTTGTTGTTGTTTCATTTGTTGCGCTGTTCACGTTTGTTGTTGTATTGGCTCCATTCAAAAGAGATGCTGTTGCATTTACAGCTGCAGAGTAGTTTTGTAACATTGTAAAACTTGCAGTCATTGCTGAATTATACTTTTGAGATGCTGTTGTCACAAGTGCTGCCACATTTGAGGTGCCTGCAGCTGTAGTTTGTGTAGGTGCAGGGGTAGTAGTTGTTTGTCCAGTGTTTGAAGGCAAGCATTTTTCCAAACTGGTTTCGAACACCTGATCCAGCTGAAAAAGTGAAATGAGGATGAATATATTCAATTTACTGATTTGAAAACATATGTAAAGCAATTTACCAGGACATGTTCATGTATTTTTGTTACATACCCAGGCAATGATTTCAGATTCATTTTGTTTCTGTCCGCTGACAACCACAGTGACATCAAGAAAATAAAACACTGCTATGATAGACAAAGGAAATAATCTGCATGTCACAAATGAAATGTGTTTTTAGGTATTTTTATGGTTCTCTAATTACCAATTCATGGATTAAAGTGTTTGTCGTAATTTCAAAGGAATGACTGATAATTATTGTCATTGATTACCTGAGGTTTGTGAAGCTGTTGCAGGAGTGGGAAGGGTGGAAGGAGCAGTGGAGGATGGACTCCCAGTAGCTTCATCTGGTTGGAGAAATCGATCAGTTTTCAATCTGCACACATCACTGTTCAAGGTTGATGTCTTTTATTGTTTCTCTTTCTCTCTCTCTCTCTCTCTCTCTCTCTCTCTCTCTCTCTCTCTCTCTCTCTCTCTCTCTCTCTCTCTCTCTCTCTCTCTCTCTCTCTCTCTCTCTCTCTCTCTCTCTCTCTATCTCTCTCTCTCTCTCTCTCTCTCTCTCTCTCTCTCTCTCTCTCTCTCTCTCTCTCTCTCTCTCTCTCTCTCTCTCTCTCTCTCTCGCTAACTCTCTCTCTCTCTCTCGCTAACTCTCTCGCTAACTCTCTCGCTAACTCTTTCTATCTATATCAGCCAGAGTGATATTTCTTTGCATCAGCTGTGCACAACTTTAAATGTTCTTGGAAAAATACCTGTAGGCAGCCTCTCAAATTACTTTCTAATTATTGCTAACAAGACCTTTGATGCTACAGGCGCAGGACATGAAAACACTCATTTTAGGTAATGTTAATCTGGTGTTTCATTTGCTTGAATCTCTGCAGATGTTGTCAGATTGGAATAAGTGTAAGAAGTAGTAAATGTCATGACACTAAAAGTTCCACCTGATTAAAAATAGGAGAACTGTTGCGGCCTTCTAAGTTCCAAACCAAAATATTCCAAGAAAGGCCATGTGTGGCAACAGGTGGTAAGTTTCTTGAACGCACTTCTAACTTGATTGTTTGAAAAATATATGTAGTTTATTCCCCCCCCACCCCCACCCCCCACCAAATGGACAAAACAATACCTAAAAAATCTCTTACAATTTGGATGAAAACAATAGTTAACAATCTCATCTTAAAAGTTCAAAAAGTGGTAAAAAAAATCATTCTAAAACCTCCCATCAACACACAGGACATTTGACAAACAAATCGATGATTGACTTCGTAGTTGCGTCATCTGATTTGCGGCTGTTTGTTTTGGACACTCAGGTGAAGAGAGGAGCTGAACTATCAACTGATCACCACCTGGTAGTGAGTTGGGGCAGATGTCGGGGGAGGATGCCGGACAGACCCGGTAGACCCAAACGTGTAGTGAGGGTTTGCTATAGGAACGCCTTGCAGAAGAATCCTTCAGAAAGAGGTTCAGCTCGCACCTACGTGAAAGTTTTAACCGCATCCCAGCTGAGGCGGGGAACATTGAGCCAGAGTGGGCCATGTTTCGCGCCTCGCTTGTTGATGTAGCTGCCTTGAGCTGTGGCCACAAGGTTGTCGGTGCTTCTCGTGGTGACCATCCTAGAACTCAGTGGTGGACACCCTGGATCAGGGAGGCTGTCAAGCTGAAGAAGGAGCCCTATCGGGCTTTGGTGGATGGTGCGACTCCGGAGACAGCTGAGGAGTACCAGAGGACCAAGCAGTCTGCAGCCTTGGCTGTTGTTGAAGCAAAAGCTCACATGTGGGAGAAGTTTGGTGAGGCCTTGAATAAAGACTCTCGGTTGGCTCCGAGGAGATTCTGGCAAACCATCAGGTTGCTGAGGTGGGGAAAGCAGTTCTTTACTAACATTGTTTTCAGTGAAGGTGAGATGCTGTTGACCTCAACCAGTGATGTTGTCGGGAGGTGGAAAGAATTCTTCTCGGATCTTCTCAGTCCCACCAGTCTTCCATGGAGGAAGCTGAGTCAGGGGACTTTGGGGTTGATCCATCCATAACCAAGACTGAGGTCGCCGAGGTAATTAAAAAGCTCTGCAGTGGCAGGACTACGAGGGTGGATGAGATTCACTCTGATTTCCTTAAGGCTCTGGATGTTGTGGGGCCGTCTTGGTTGACATGCCTTGGCAACATCACATGGACATCGGGCACAGCGCCACTGAATTGACAGACTGGGTTGGTGGTTACCCTCTTCAAAAAGGGGGTCCAGAGGGTGCGCTCCAATCATATGGGCATAACTCGCATTAGCTTCCCTAGTAAGGTCTATTCAGAGGTACTGGAGAAACGAGTCTGATCATTGGTCGAATCTTAGCTCCAGGAAGAACAATGCAGGATCTGTCTTGGCCGTGGAACACTGAACCAGCTCTTTATTTTCACTGGGGTCCTATAGGGGTCATGGGAGTTTGCCTATCCAGTCTGCATGTTTTGTGGACTTGGAGAAGGCATTTGACCATGTCAAGGTACACTGTGGGGGTGCTCCGTAAGTATGGGATTGGGGCCCGTTGCTACGGGCTGTTTGGTCCCTATACAAGCGGTGTGAGAATTTGGTTCAAATTCCCGTTGGACCCCTTCGGGGTGGAGTTGGACTCCACCAGGGCTTCCCATTGTCATCGATTCTGTTCATAACTTTTATGCACAGAATTTCTTGGTGCACCCAGGGGACAGAGGGATTCTGGTTCGGTGGCATTAGGATTCCATCTCTGCTCTTTACCAATGATGCGGTCATGTTGGCGTCATTTTTCCCTGATCTCCAGCTTTCACAGCTGAGTGTGAAAAGGCTGGCATGAGAATCAGCCCCTCCAAATCTGAAACCATGGTCCTCAGTTGGAAAAGGGTGGCTTGCTCTCTTTGAGTCAAAGGTAAAGTTCTGCCTCAAGTGGAGGAGTTCAAGTATCTCAAGGTTTTGTTCACCAGTGAGGGAAGAATGGATCATGAGCTTGACAGACAAATTGGTGCAGCGTCTACAATATTGCAGACCCTGTGCCAATTTGTTGTGGTGAAGAGGGAGGGTTGGATTATCCTCACCTATGGTCACTAACTCTGGGTCGTGACTGACAGAATGAGATTGCGGATACAGGTGGTTGAAAGAAGTTTCCTCTGCAGGGTAGCTGGACTCTCCCTTAGAGATAGGGTGAGAAGTTATCCAGGAAAGACTTGGAGTAGAACCGCTGCTCCTCCACATTGAAAGGAGCCAGTTGAGGTGGTTCGGGCATCTGGTAAGGATGCTTCCTGGGCGCCTCCCTTGGGAGGTGCTTCAAGCATGTCCAACTGAGAGGAGACCCCGGGGATAACCCAGGACACACTGGAAAGACTACATCTCTTGGTTGGTCTGGGAATGCCTTGGAGTCCTCCCAGAAAAAGTGGCTGTGAAAAGAGATGTCTAGGCCTCCCTGTTCAAGCTGCTGCCCCCGCAACCTGACTTAGGAATAAATAGAAGATAATGGATGGATGGATGGATGGAGGGGTGGTTTTTTTTTTTCACTAACTGAAACTTCTTTGCCCATTGCCCCATGAATTTGCTCCTCCTCCTTTCTGTAAACATTGCTTTTGTATTAAATCAATTAACAATCCCCAGTTGCCATCTACTATAATCCCCCAATAACCACCATCTTAACCAAAAAACAGGGTTAATAAAATGTAGAAATTGATTTATATGGGAAAAGAATAATAGATATAAGGAAACAACAGAAAATATCTTGACTTTATTCTGTCTGCTGTGGAAAAAAACATAATCTCTTTGATTTTCCATTTCATCCTAACTTTTTAGTTTCTGATTTGAGGTTGTTTATGCCAAATGTTTTATTTACCTGTTGTTTGTGTAGCTGTTGCTGTAGTTCTATTGTTGGAAGTGACATCTGTTGGAGTGGTGATGTTGGAAGTGTTGGAAGTAATGACACTTGATGGAGCTGAAGTGTTGGAAGGGACACTTGCTGTATCTGTAGTGTTGAAGGTGTCATTCAATGTTGTAGCTGTAGTATTTGCAACGACACCTGTTGGAGTGGCGATGTTGGAAACAACACCTGGTGTTGGAGTGGTGA